CGCCGCCTCACCCGCTCCGCCCCGTCCCGCCCCGCCTCGCCCCGCCCGTCCGCGCCTTTTACCTACCGCGCCTCGGCCCACGGAGAAACACGGCCTCCAGGTGCACGCGGCTGACCTTATCTTGATGCATTGGAGAGGCGATATGCGAGGGTTTCGCGGAAAAAAGCGGTTCTACGACACCCGCAGCCTTTCCCTTGTTTTGTGCGAATGCCGGAAAGCTGGGACAGAGGAGCTGAAGGAGCGAGGAACACAGTGATAGTCTTTACTTCTGGCAGGAATATAGACTACACTCCCGCTAAGCCGGCCATTCCTTGCTCGGGTAGCAGCCGATTTAGCGGAAGTTCCGGACTAATTTAAACATATATAGACTATACAGTCATTTATTAAATCCAAAGACACTGTACATTTATTTTATCGGAAAATGGGTAAATATCCAACATTGCACTCACCAGCAATGGCTTTCTGCGAAAAACCTCGGTTCCACTTATCTACATTTTCGAGTTTCTGCGCGAGATCTAGCGTAACGTGTTCCCTTTTACAAGACAAAAGTTCGGTACTGTACTATAAGAAAGTCACAATTTTAAATATGTTTAGATAGTTAAAGGTTTTTAACTAAAAACATTGTTGCACAAGGTAATTCATTGTTGTGCACGCCATTTCCGCTTGAGCGACTAGAGGCCTGATGTGGACCGGAATTCTGAGACGGGGTAGAGAGAGTTTAGTGTATTTCGTTACCATTGACCTTAAAAAAGTGCACGGGTTTTTAGCATCTTGTCAATTGTGAAGCGTGGAGTGTGACTGACCAAATTCATTAGTCTTTGTAACCGTCCGCCAAATCGGAATGAAGTGGCCAAATGCAACAGCGCATCTCATTCCCTGAGCGCTGCGCTCGGTTTCCAAGCGGTTCGAGTCCATCGCCCGGTGCCTCTGGGGAGTGACCCCGATGCCGGGCGAAGGCCGTGGGACGCGGAGCGGAGGGGGCGGGGGAGGGGAAGGACAGCGGCACGGTCTCGGCTTCGACTCCAGGGCTCGAAGCCTCCACCGACAAAGGCTTTGTGCGCGCCAACGTTGCAAGGTTGCAGAGAGACTAACTAACAATGAATTGTAGACAGTAAGTGAAAACCGCGCCAAGTGACAAAAAAATGGAATTCCAAGATAATTAAGAAGAACTGTTTCAAAATCTGGCGGCACGTGACTGATACGCAGTCTAATGGTGACAATTTGAACTCCTAAGAATGATAGCCCCTTTTACACTGCATTGGACTTGACACCTACCACACTTTTCAGCTCAAAATGCAAATTTTAACATTTTGGCACTTAGTCCGGGTTTCATTTATGCTCTACAATGCTACACATGGTATGGATTGCATCCTGCCACTTCTGGCCATTGTAGTTCACATACTTCACAAACCCTTTTATTGTTGCTGAAGGTCTTTCATCTAGCGGGATATTTTTAACAATATGGAATATTATGTATTCATGACATGTGTAATTGCACATAAACTGAGAATTATATATTTTGTCTCTTATATTTACAATGTTGAAAAGCAATATTAAACAAGTTGATTCTCAGTTTAATTTTTTTAACATAAAGTCTACAAGATTATTCACTTGTGCTATATATCACCAGCGCCGCGTGAAATTTTAAAGGGCCACAGGACATACAGATATCTGATCATATTCAGTCTGACTATTGGCGCTGGTAATTGCAATTTAAGAGGCCGATACCTCGCCGTGCCTTATCGCCTCGTTTAGAGTAGTTGTGCGGCCGTTATGGGCAGGTCGTGCCGAGGCTGCAGCTGGGCCGCGAGCCTCAACCCCTTCCACTCAACCGACGCCGCTTTGTTCCAACACGGTGCAATAGGCGGCGGCGGCTGCAGATTTACAACCAAAAGTGGATGAGGTCTTTTATCCTTCCTCCTACTCGACAGTTTCTTTTCTATCCAGCTACAGAGCTAGGTCGAATTCAGCCAGTGTTTGGAAAAATAATTCTAACGCTGGGGTGCCAGGATAGTATTTTTCTTTTCTTCTATCAGAACCAGGTGAATGCCGGGGCATTACCTACACAAATAGTCCAAGGAACACGCGCGATCTATTCTTGTCTCCTTAAAACCATAGACTTGCACTTACATGCATTACACTACCATTTTACGTCAGGCTACCAGTCGGGCACTTACAATTTGACCATTCAGTGTCTCAATTGGGGGGAGATACCTTTAGTGGGAAATCAGCAACTCGGATGTGTTGATCTACTCTTACATTCCAGTGAGAGCGGAACGCCGCGACGACGGCACAACCTCACACGCACTACACTCTTGGGACTACTGATGAAAGTAGTCGATGCCCTCGGAAACGCGAGATGCTCCGTACCTCCCCTTCGCTGCTTCTTAACTCGTTTCCCTGCGGGATGCTCAGCCTCCTTCCGTGTCCGGAGCAGGGCCCGGCCACGCCCCCTCGACGGCGGAGCGGCGGCGGCGGCAGTGAGTCAGGCGCTGGCGCAAGCAGGGGAAAGCGGGCCGACCGGTGCGCGCTGCGCCAGGGGCGCCCGTTCGAGCCCAGACGGCCCCCGCCCCGCGCTCCGCCTCCCACGCGCCCGGGTTCAGAAACCGCGCCGACATCCACCCGCCCGGATGCTTTGGAACGCGAGTTAAATACTCGACGCCCAACCGTTAATCACTGTTCTCGAAAGGGCTTCTGAACAATTACAACGCAATGCGTCGGGGTTCCTGGAGAAATCACCGAGCCACCATTACGAATACCGCATTTACATGAATGAATACGTCTTCCTTCGCGTACGACACGCCACCGACCGCCTGCGGCGCAGGCGTTCATTGCGCCCCTCTAAGCCAACGAGCGCGGCTGATTAGATTCCCGCGAGGCCTTCATTCTGCGCGGCGGGTTGCCTAACCGGCCGCCGGCAAGGGTAATCACATGCGCGCGCAGATGGGGCATGAAGACTCATTACTCGGTGTTTGCGGTTTTACTTACGCAAACACAACTACCTGTCATTTAAACCCTAAACAAGGTAATGCCTCGCCGCCATTGAACAACTGCAACTAGAACGTGACATGTGAGTGTATGGAGTGAAAATGATGCTTTGTAAATAAAAACATATTATTTTCCTTTTTATGTCCTTGCTCAACAATACCCTATTCCTTATCTTTAGGTCTTTCCTTTTCTTTTTCATAGATTTTTAAGTATCACCATTTCCATGTGTTCATACCTCCTGTTTTTCTTATTGATCATGTCTTAATAATTATATTGTTGTATCTTTTTTATTTAATTCGGGGGATAACAACGATCACATTGTTATATTATTTTCATTTTTTAGTATCAATATCATGCCTATGCATTTGGTCCCTACTTTATTTCCGTCTGAAAATTATGGTAATCGTATATAATTATAAGTTTCTCCGTTTAATAATTCATGTTCATTATATTTATTGCATAACTTACAAAAGAAAGAAATCTAATTCAAACTCCCACAGATATTTTGCAAGCGAACGAAATTTTCATAATGTGTTTGACTAGGTTTTTCGGAGGAGGCATAATTTTACTTGCATAAATTACGATAAAAGGAAAATACAAGACCTAGGCCCTCTTTTGAAGCACGATCCACATGCGCTTCCGACCGAAAGAGCAGGAGTGGTGCTGGGAGCGTAGGTTGGGAAAGGGTCTGACGGGACGCTCTCTGCGCAGACATCGACGAGTGCGCAAACCCCGCCATCCGGGCGCGCTGCGTGCCCAACTCCGAGTGCTGCAACCTGCCGGCGCACTACCTCTGCAAGTGCAACCCTGGCTTCGAGGGCGACGGCGAGGAGGAGTGCATCGGTGAGTACCTTTGCTTGCGAGCAGACGCAGCGTTTCGCAGCGGGTGGCACGGAATCGAATTCCCGTTTTGGAGACGCCTGGCTCTTCACATCAACGAAGATAATTTCTGTTAACTTACTTTAATTCACTTTTAAATGTCGGCTTTCTAAACGTGTGCTCGGAAAGAAGTATCTATAATTATTAGTAACATGGAATGTAAGAACATAGTAGAGTTACACCTGCCCAATGATGTTCCAATAGCTGTATTAATAAAATTAATTGACTGACCAACTATATTAAATATAAAGAAATGTGAATACAGTTATTATTACAATGTAGGTATTTATTCATAAAGATTTTTTCATACATTTCATTTTTCCATAACTCAGAGAACGCAATATTTAAGAAATAGGTACCCAACAATTTTCCAGGAAGAAATATTGTTGAAATAATCTAAAATTCAGATTTTAAATTAAGAAAGTTTGTTGACAGAACAGAAGCTTTTGCCAGTGGTGGAAGATAACCACTTAAGTGATTGGTGCATGCCTATCATAATGAAACACTTGAAATTTACATGCACATTGAACACGTTAAATTAAAAATTCGCTAAAACGATTACTGGTAATCCTACATTAGCGTAGACGCTTTACTATACCGGAGATGAACCACACAACTAGTCCCATCCACCTCAGAGTCGAAGAAGGAAACCACAAGTGGGAAGGTACATAACTTGTTAGCAACGGGCGACAGTTTTTTATCGATTCACAATAGAGTTGAAATTTTCGAAGAGAGAAAGAACGTTTCTCCAGGTCCCTCTCCGGGGGCAGAGCCCTGAGGGCAGTGCCCCCCGGTGGGGGGGAGGGGGACTGGGAAGGCGCGGGGGCCTGTAATTTGGGCGCCGGGCGCGCTCATGAGCGCCTGCACCAGGGCCACGGCCCCCGCCACGCGCAACCTCGGGGCCAAGGCCTCCTGCCTCCTCCCCGCTTTGCGTAAATCCACGAGCGCAAAAAACTCTCACTTAAACACTACTCTTTTTTCGCAACTCAGATGCAACGTTGATGTGTTTATGAATATGTTGATAAGTTTATATTTAATAATAAATTAAAAATTTGTCTCGGGCGAATTTAGAAACAATATTTTCAACACCGAATTGATAGTCTGACTCATGCGCACAATTGTAAGCATTCAATTGTTGTTCGTCAGTTCAGGGAATATAAAATTCACAGTGTCATAAAAACATTGAAATCAGAAATTATAATACAATTTGTTCAAAAGTTTTCCTTGAGACCTAAAAAATATTTTAAGTCACGTTGTTACACCAAATAAATAAACAAATGTGCATGAAAAGATTATAGTAAGTCCCTGCAGTCATTGACCTGAGAACGTCAATAAATTAATTTTGTACATGCTCTTCCTCCACACCATTTGTAATGCATGTCTAGTATGTTATATACAATACGTGTCACGCAAACAAGTACCACACGTTTGTTGTATGAAATCCAAATGTAACTGCAGTGCATTGTCTTGTCTTATGTGCTCATTACAAGACTGTAGTTTGCATGTTCAGACGCGTCTAACATATCAACAAGGCTTCAAACTAATAATACGACCAGCAGGAAACAATAAACATATGAATACTGTTGATATTAGTATTCATTGTTAAGTTCCCTCCCTGATTTGAGTGCAAGCGATAGTCTATATGAAACTGAATCAATAAATGAATGCATAAGAAGCCACGAACATGGTTGCATGACTATTGTTACAAATGGGAAGCAATACCAAGAAGTCGACAAATCGCTGGACAGCGGCTGCCCATCATTAATCGATCAACATTATCAGCTCCATTAGCGTATTACAATGTGTTTGACGACAGACTTTTCGTGTTCCACATATCCGAAACTGATTTAGGTGCAGCAATTAAAAGCTCGTTAAGAGCGTTCCTCACCTTTAGGATGACAGACCCTCCGAGGAGACACACGGACGCCGTGCGGAAACCAAGATTGCTGAAGACGAGAGCGAGCAATTTTGTCGCGAGAAAATTCTGCACGGATGGTAGCACAGCTTCCTTGTCTGTTTGCGGTGCCTTCTCCTCCCAAGTCACTCACATCTCTCACAACAAATTGACGCCTTGAAATCCCAACCGAATGGCGCGCAAATCGTTCAAAGACCAAATTGCAGAGTGTTCTCCATAATGCAGATGCCAGAGCTGTCAAGAGGCATAAAAAGGAGGCAATTTGCATCGGTGGCAAAAAAGGCCTGGCACTCGCTGCCGTGGAAGGCTTCTTTACGTAACGCACTGAGTTGCCTTATGGAAGAGAGTGAACTAAGAGCTGGAAGCAATCCGGAAACCTGTGTATTGGCAGGTGTTACGAAATATCCAACTTACGAACATAATTACCTCTCTAGATCTGCATCTACATCTACATCTGTAGATCAAAGTTGTCACTAATATTTAGTCATATTTAAAAAGTAATTAGTGCTCAGTAACCAAATTAATGGATTGCTTTTTAAATGATTTAAAAAGAATTACATTTTAAATACATTTATTTTTACTCATTTCCTTATAAAATACTAAAGATTGGCAAACATTTTTTTAGATAAGTAAACGTCAGTAAATGAATATAACATTCCCTGTAACTAAACTTTAATAACAATATGTCAATTCAAGTGTTCAAAAAGCTTCAAGTTCCATTACCCATAAATTTGGCTGAATTCTTTATTAGGTGACCGAAATTGCTGTTGACCTTGCGAAAGCAGCACACACGAAGAGCGAGAAAGGACCTGTAGGAAGTGAGTGCTGTCCTCCTGAGTGCTGTCATTGCTGCTTCCCTTCTTCCTCTCCTGCTTTTCCATTGCTCTCCCCTCTTGCTTCTTTCTTGCTCTCCCCCCTGCGTGCGGCGTCCGTCCCTGGGCTGCGCATCCGGGAGAAGCGAAGCACGCGGGGGCGGGGCTGCGGTTCGGCGCTCTCCGACCCCGCGATGACGTCACGCAGGAAGACCTGCTCGCTACCTCATTTCGGTTACTCATGGTCGTCTTTATTGCCTTTCCTTTATTTCTCGTTGTCCACAACCTGTAAGAAATCAGGGAGTTTCGGTTCTCGTAAAGGAGAAATGAATTTCCTTTGTTCGGAGCTCGTCATTCGTTTTACGTTGAAAGGTTCAATGCGTAAAAAACTGCATTTAGTATCTAGAACAGAAACAAATCACACCGACAGATTCAAATTAAGCTTTAAGGAGATGGGCACGCGACGAGGCTTATCATATATTGTTTCACTGAGACATATAAAAATTATAATATATCATAAATATAAAAGAAGCTCTATTGATCCATTCTTAGGTCCACAGTCATGATATTTGTAAATGTGTCTCATGATAAAGCGACATGCCAGATGATACTGTAATATCAAAATTTAAAGATAGAGGAAATTTTGAAAAATGAAAAACTATACATTTCCTGCCATATGGTATTTTGACAAACACACAACCATCACAGTTTTACGTTTTTTTTCTTAGGTCCACAGCTAAGGAATATAACATACAATAAGTTAGTATGGAGGGAATTTGGTGTTAGTGATATTGTATTTTCAGTCATGATATTTGTAAATGTGTCTCATGATAAAGCGACATGCCAGATGATACTGTAATATCAAAATTTAAAGGTAGAGGAAATTTTGAAAAATGAAAAAATATACATTTCCTGCCATATGGTATTTTGACAAACACACAACCATCACAGTTTTACGAAGCTCGTTGTTCTTTCGAGTAGTAACGGAGCCATACGTTACGGGTTCTTGCTAATGTTCTTAAGACGTTGCGTAATCATGACAGGGTTATCCATCATTCTGCAAAAGATTGCTTCATCCCCCACAGAATCCTTGAGAATACAAATGGCAAAAGCTCGTTTTAAGAATGCATACAGTAAATATTCAGGTAATGCATTCAAAACACACAATCGTTTTTCAGAAAGAACTTCAATTCATTTATTCGTGCAATATTTTGGAATTTAGCATATGACAAAAAATATTGAGCTGTCACAACCAAAGACAGGCGGGAATAAAAATTGTTACGTGGAATTTTACGTAGGAAAACGCGATGTGAAATCATTGTTTATGCAAAACGACGCACACATACGAAAACGAAAGAACTAAAATATTGAAAAAGTACGAGAATAACTTCTCATTTTTTATTCTTTTATGAATCTATTTAGAATACAGAGAGATTTTCTCTCTCCTTCGTGAAAGCCAACTACTTCGATTTCGACGAAATATAGGCTCCGTCTCACCGCCTCTGTATAAGGGATTCGATTTTTTGGTACCAAGAATCCCCGAAACATGGATTCTGGCTACAGCACGTGTTAAAGGTTTATTTTCATCTAAATTTATCAACAGTGTTTAACCACTTGTTCGTTACCAGGGTCCTGTAACAAGAATTTTTCGCACAGCATTAATAACTTTCTCTCTACTCCGTGGCGATAAAGACAAAAGCCCCTCGCAGCCTCCTCCATTTCGCCGGTGACGTGTTTCGGCCTCCCTCCGTGGGGAGCGCGCGGGGCGGCGCTGGACCCGCTCACCTTCCACCGCGTCACTCGCAGCTTCCCGCTCGGGTTGAGGGGGCGTCTATTTTAAACGTGAGGTCATTTTCGCCGGCCTGCGTCATCCAACGTCCACCGCCGCGAGGCTACGCGTAATGGAGTAGAACGGCGTGGCGCGGTGTGCGCGGGGTGTCGACTGATTGATTGAATGTTAGTGATTCCATCACTACTAGGGTCATTAGTCCCGTAAGTTTAGTACATGTTCTTCCTCGGACGGTGGCAGTGATAGGGCGAGATTCGTCTCCGACCTACCGTCGGGTTGCGGGGTTTTCCACAACAAGGTATCTTCCGTCAGCGGGGCACTACCCCAGCCCGGGCAAGGTCCGGGCATGTGCGGTAGTGTAGAGCATGTTAATGTATAAAGGCGTGTAAGGGGGTGAGAATAGGACAAGGAAGAAGTAAGATAAATCGCGCGGGGTCCATAGCCCGTTTTTTAGGGTACTGCTCCGGCATTCGCCTGATGTTGATCGGAGAAACCACGGAAAACTACCGATCAGAGCAGCCGGCCGCTAGAATTCTTCTCCAGACAGCGACTGAATTCGACCTAGCATTGTAGCTAGTGTCGGGACTGTAACGCTAGGACCTCTCGGTCAGAGGGACTGCAATGAAATCAGCTGCTGCCCTGCGCCAACTCTCCCGGCGCGGGGAGTGGAGTGGAGTAGAGCGGCGTGGCGCGGAGCGCGCGAGGTGCTCGCATCTGCGTTGCAAATGTCCGCCGCGCTGGCGCTGCGGTCGCGCGCCTCTTCTTGTCGCATCTCGTTTCGCGCTCGAGCTGCCCCAAGCGCATCCGGATTCCGCGTTTGTTTTCCATCGGCGTATCGGTGCGTTTCTCGCGGCCTCTTAATCGTCGTGAAGCCGTGAGCGCGCTCCTCGGCCGGGCTGATCACGCGCGCGCTTGCATCATCTCGCGGAATCTCGCACGTTGCGAGATGCACGAGGAAGTACTATATTTTATTACATTTCACGGATTAGTCGATTGTACTGGCAACGTCACCATCGTGAACTTCAATAATCAGATTTCCTTCAGATGCGAGATACAAGGAACTCTTTTTACGTGATTGATTTCAAACATTATTACTGATAAGTGACACTAACTTCTGGGCACTTGCAATTCAAGATGGTAGTTGATTAGTTCCTGATAATTGACTCAAAATATGAAAGATTCAAATGATGCCTTGTGCCAGACGTTGCATTTTCCCTTCCTAGCATCGTTATAGGACCTGCTGCAAGAGGGTATTGAATCTGTACACATCTGGGGCATTATTGCATAGCATAGTATAACGCTGGAAAGCCACTCTATGCTTAGGCGCGCTTACTGGCTTTCCAAAAGCTTAATAGCTATCATCAGCAGAGGGAAAGAAGGCGCGATGGGAGACTTGTGCCTTCTGGAAGCCCCGCGATTGCCATCGGCCGAAGCCGGACGAAGTCTGCAGCGGGAGCATGGCGCAGAGGGCGGGAACGCGGTGTTCGGGGC